GGTTTCATTGTCCACAGGTGTAAGTGGCACACATACTTATAAATCACAAATGCAGCTCGCACTGATATAGGGCAGTACATATTACAAAAATTGAAGGACTGAATAGAAGGACGGACAAAGACAATATCTCGGGAGTTACAATAGAGATCAAATCAATTCATTCTCTCTGATATCCTCGATCAAGGGTCACTAAGGAAACCGGTAGTTCCCACAGGTAGTCTTTTTAAACGACCATACAGGTATATAAGGCAATTCAATTATGTTCTAAATCACTCAATTATGCTGGAGTATATTGCTGATATTAAATATTCAGAGCGCGAAACGAAACACAAAATTGTTAAAAATCAATTCACAATATTAATGGAAAACTTTAAGTTAGATTTAAAACACACGTTTGTGCACTTTTCAAATACATAAGGACAGGTATATAAAATGAATATATTACATCATAATTGGTTATGAACTATATATATAAACTATATATATTCATAGTTGTTAATAATCTCTTTGCAAAGAAATCTTAGATTTATCAAACTGTGATTTCAACATAAGTTAAACCCCGACTCCATATGAATATTCCTGAAGAAATAACATTTTGTAAAACTACGTTGTTAGACCCAAGTCTTAATGTTCAATTGAAAACATGTTAAACAACGTGTTAAGAACTGTGTTAATGAAGCCGATATCAAAACAAATCATATCAGCTTAGAAATGTAGTTAAAATGAGCTTAGTTAAGTCGGACGTAACTCTAACTACGTCCGATTCTAGTGAATGGACACTGTACCGTACCTTAACTAGCCTAGTGGAATCAGAGCTTATTCGGATTTGAGTAACTATGTTTAATTCGAAAAATATTGAATGGGAATTGTTAATTCGAAACCATTTAATGTGAATTTAGTCTGACATGAACAAGGGAACTTGATGTCATTGTTTTCGTTGCCGTGGATTTCTGAGACCGAGGTATTGATGTATGTAAAGTCCCAAAGCAAAAACTTATATCAAGTATTAAAATATACATTAGGCCTCTCAAATACCAGTACCAGGGGATGTCTGGTCGCGCATATGATAACACAGTCACCCCGTCCAAGACTGTCAGAATTCGATTCCCGGATCGGACGTGAAAATGTATAGAGTCACCTTTAATTCCCGAGCACGTGGGTTTTCTGCGGGTAGTCCGGGTTCGTCCCGAACTAAGACCTCCCGCACGCTAACATCCGGGTTTAAATACCAGTAATCGCGTGGATCAACAATGTATCAGACTTAAAATAATATTAATGAAATACAAAACTTGTCATACCTTTTTTCAAGTGCTTATTTGATATAGACGTTGCTACATACAACTCAAATATTACCCTCGAGTACGATGAATGCAAATTAATTTAATTGGTGCTTTTGTTATATATTCATGTGAGCAGTGTTCAAATGAAACACTTAGGTAATGTGTACACATGAATCAAGGTTTGACACTTTTTCACAAATAATGTACAGGTACATATCGTACGTATCGCAAAACAAATCGCTTCTCATGAGTGGCACAAAACAAATCGCTTACACAGCAAAGCTTGACAATGGGATCAATCGATCTTAAATCGTTGCCACACGTATAATATGTACATTGCTTCTGTAAAAGGTTAAATCCCTGATATATATGTTAAACCCTATTTCTGACGTTTTAATGTTGTCATATTATGTCTTAATCCCTGTAGTTAAAACAATCCAAATTTGGCTAATGATCAATTTCTTTATTTAGAGGAATTATATGGTAAATCGTTCCTCATTATTAATGTAGAATGAGTTATACGTGGAAAGTGTATATTTTTGTGGCGTAAATAATATACTCACGTGATTATTGTCATATGTAATAGCCACAAATTGAGTTCATCTCAATAAACTTAACATTTGACTGTGACCCTTATATATCAAAAACTTCTGTGATAGTATTATACAAACGCCACATTTGACTTTCAACTCTACACAATAACCCTATATAATAACCCCACACAGTAACCCAAAATTACTTTGTTTAACTCAATAGACTCAACATTTGTCTCTGAAACCTGTTACTTAAACGATATACATCACTGTGAACTTTACTCAATAAACATTAGCACGAACGAGTGTGCATAAACCGTTTATTTGAAAAGAAAATTTATAAAAGATTAGGGATTCCAGTAGTAATATTTTTGATGTCACGAACACTACCAACGTAATCCTAAATTTGTATTTTGTTTGATGAACAGATAAATAATTTCTTATTAAACCACGTAAAAGTTATGTACAGGATATATTTAAACAACAATGTAGGACAGATTACTTTACATATAATTAAAAATATGCAACATAATACGTATGTATGTACTACATAGAAGAATGCCACAAACAATCATACACAATTTTTTTTCTATCCGGAGTTATAAGGATTCGGGGTGTTCTGTATGGAATTGAATGTTCGTTGTGTGAATGCTCTGTGTGGGTTTTAAAGTCGCTTAAGCAATATGACAACAGAATAAGTATATCAAAGGTTGTCAGTCTGATATCAAGGGTAACCAACACCTCTAGTGAGATTTAAATGATCTTTGATCAATCGATATCATTCATATAGATCTTTATTTAAATAGCCACACACAGTGCCATTCTTGGTATTCCTTACCGAAAACAACACGAGTATTACTACAGGTGCTCGTTTGGTACTGCAGTTACGTGCTAATGTAACTATGTAATTAATAATGTAGGCACTTTCTACCTTGTCTAGGTCGGGTTGTAGATTTTATATGTCTTTTGTAATGCTATGATATACTACTAAATATTTGATGAAAAGCTGACTGGATCACATAGACAGGCCTATATATACCCATGCTATTAGTATTAAAGGGTGTTTAATCTTTCTTTATAATTATAAATTAAATCTGGATATTGGCATACTATACCCTTTGGTCTCATTGGGTAAGAATATTGACTGAGAACGTTCACAATACCGACTATGTAACTATTTCTATGTACTTCTCTCAACTAAAGCAGATAGATAGTTGATTGACAAGGACACTGTCACGCCTTATTAGATATGTTGCTCACTGATCTGTAAAACGTTCAGAAATACCTTTCTCACACATCAGTTCCAAATCTGTAACAAATAAAGAATAAGGTCATTTTGGATAACATTCTATCTGTGAACTTTAAATTGTAAAACAATCTTTTCCTGTTTGAAAGTGATAATTGATAGTTAAAGTGCAGTCTCGTAAAATATACATGTAAGAGATGATGAATATTTTTGAAAAAGTTCCATTCATGTATTGTAAACATATAATCACTTTTCATGTTTTCACGAGGCAGTTTGAAATAGACTAGGCTTCCTTAGGTACGGATGTGGATAATAGTGTAGGATTTCATGTTGTCCTTGTAACGACAATACTCCTAACATATAACAAAAGAACTAAAGCAGGTGTATAGTTGATAAACAGGTATTACTGTCGTACCGTTTGAGACATGATGTGCACTGATCTGTACAACGTTTAGTAATACCCTGTTCCCCCACCAGTATCAAAGTAGAAACATTTACAGAAAATGAGGTAATTTTCCGAGAATTCCGTGTACTTACAAATGTAAACAATCTTCCTGATAAAAAGTTGAAACTAAATTAAAATCCGGTTCCTTACGAAAAAAACCTGAGGCAGTTATTAGTAAAATAGATTCCTGAGGTACAAATATAGATGATGGTTTAGTATTTCATGTCCTGTAGCGATGCATATATTAAAATAATCTACATGTTGGTATGTTTTAACGCTCTTTGAAGTGTTATTTATCTAAAGACTTTAAATGAAAACAAACTATGTTTAAGAACGTTTTGGAGACCATATAAGTTGACTGTTTAAATAATATCATACCCGGTAAGCCGTTAACAATTGGACAACAATCCCAAGACCAACGGTTAGACGATTTATCTGGCATCAGTTTCAATCTTTATCATAAATGCAAATATGATGTCTAGCAACTGGCATGTCAAATTGTTTCGTACTTTCAAGACACGTCTGGTTTCCTGTCAAATATTACATTCAATTAATGTAGCTTCACATTCAAAACGATGTAGAACCTCAAAATTTAAAGACTCTCCATTTTGCTGTATTGAACTACCAGCGTACACCATCATGCTGTATGATGGTCCTTCAATGACGAACTATATTGCTTTTACATTACGTGAATACGCAGACATACACAAGCTCCAGAATCTGTGACAAACCATAAGAATGAAGTTTCAAAACTTCCAATTATCAAAAATAACAAAACAAGTTGAGTTGAGTTGGTCTTGAAACAAATTAAACATGAACTGCCTCGCAGTTCAATGAATTTGTTTCAAAACCAACTCAATTCCCCGTGAAATCGACGATTGCAAGATTCGATCCTTAAATGAATCGGTGTACGATGTTAATAATCTTGTACACGATTGCTCTTTTCTAAAGACGAGTAATCAATCCTCTGAACTGTATGTTTTTGCTGCACCAAATAAGGACTCTGATTCACATTTAATTATTTTTGTAGGTTTTTAGGCGAGTCCTGAACCTCTCTTTCATACTTTTCCCTATTATCAAGAGATAAATGTGGTTCTCAAATACCTTGGTAAGTCCTACAGTGAAAAAAGATGAGTCAAGGACTCGAATATCTCAGTCTCAAAACTAGCTGAAAATCAATCCCTTAGCATATTCATATTCATATTCCTTACAAACTAGGTAATAAATGTTCGTGATCGTCTACTAGTTCAGCAAACCCCTGTTAATATTTACTAGCTCTATGCCGCATATTTACTGAAGAAAAGGAGGGCTGTCAAATTTATTTTAATTTAGTTCATGTCAAAATCAATTTACATAAAAAGTATTGGTAAACATTTCAAAGTTAGTGTTTTTGTAATTGAAATAATCACAAATCACATATCACAAAAAGAATATCACATTTTAAATAATTTTTATTTATGTAAAGAAAGACAACACAAGGTAGTTCTCTTAAACAGATACCAACGCGATGGAGCACAAGAGGGGCCGAGTTTGATGCGATGTCTGGAAAACACAACGTAGACTACCCACGATGGTGGAAAGATTATTCAGACAATTACACGGACACACATTCGTCAGGGGACAGCGCCAGTAGAAAGTATGACAGTGAGAAACACCCCTGGTGGGAAAACAAAAAGATCCTAATTGCCGCCCTTATCATAGCTTTGCTGGCATTAGTGACGGTTTCTATCGTTATTTTCAGTATTCGAAACAAACGTAAGTAAAAGTATTCACAGGCATATTATTCAAGTATTTGTTTAGTTGATAAACTGGAAAATAATATAAAGAATTCTTGCGTTACAGCATTTTGTCTTTTTGTGTGTACAGTAACCTCCCATTGATTTTATTTTGGATAGAACTGTAACACAGTTGGGACAGGACATTGCTGTTGACCAGGTAGTCTAGTCGGTTAGAGTGATACTATAACACTATGAGGTCCAGCTTTGGAATCCATTCTAACTCGAATATTTACTTTCGTACTGCTGTCGTTGATTATATTGTATTCAATAAACCTTTTTTTTTTTTATTATTCATTAAAGTCCCGAAAGGAATGATGTATCAAAGCTTTAGTAATGCGGGAAAAAACTATGTATCTTGGTTAACGGGTTTCAGCTCTATACACCCACGAATCGGTGTAACTAATAGGATACAATTGTCCCATGACATAACAAAACTTGTCTGGACTAACAGGGTTCTGCTTGCTTTGTAAGTTAACGGGGTTCTACTGTATACACCCCCGAATCGGTCTTACTAACGGGTTACAAATGTACTACTATATTACTGAATTAATTGTGTGGACTAACGGGGTACCACTAGTTCTGTTTGCTCCCATGCAATGGTTTGGACTATTGCAGTTTTTACCAGATTCACTAAGAGAAAGTGCATGCACTTCTGGGGTTGAACTAGATGGAGTTTCTAGACGTATCAGTTTCTACTAGATACACTAAGTAAAGTGTCTGAAATAACGGGGTTTACTAGATCTACAAAATAAAATTTCTGAGTTAACAGAGTTTACTAGATTCTGTTATGGGGTTCAACTTTACTTATAATGACTATATTGTTTTGTTGGAAACAATTGAGATAAAAATACTCATAATGTTTCGCATTATCTTTATATTACAGCTTTGATTGAACAAAAGAAGAAGGACAGTGAGTAAAAAATATTCTTATAATTTCTTGGTTAGAAATCTGCATGGTAATGATTTGTTTGATACAAACATTGTAAGGATACAGTACTATTTTGATTGAAGAAATATTTCTTATTGACTTAAAATGGGCAATATTTAGCAAAAAACTTCATCATTCTAACGATTTACACATTTCGATTATAAGGTAACGTCACCTAAAATTACAAGACGATTCTTGTGTTCTACCGTAAAATATTATTGGAAATTTTTGATAAACAATGTATTGTTTTATTGTGTTTACGGTAAGATAGTACCGTGTAAAGCATATGGTACTGTGTTTTGTATTACGATAAAGTAAGATTATATTGTTACATATGTCTATTATATAATAATACAGTAATGTTTGTTGTTGAACGGCGAGAAGATACTGTTAAGTTATAATTAATAACAATATATTGTATTTATATATTTATTATTCATTACTGTTCGAAAATATTTACAGACTTATATCACTATATGGCACTCTCTTTTATCATTATAAAGTAAGATAATCCCGTTATACAATAGAAATAAGATATTACGTTTTTGTTGTACTGTAAAATAATATACTTGTAAAGTAGTAATAATTTATATAAGAATTGATGTTCCCTTAACCGTTATTTAACAGTTTTTTGTTTGTTTTACAAACCTTATGTTGTTCGATTATATAATTCTATATGTAATTTCGTTTTACATTTTGTTTTGTTAAACAGTCAGTGTGGAAATGAGTATGTCGTTGAATGAAACATACAAGCCAAAATACAATGATACCAACTCGGTAGAATTCCAGAACTTCGAAAGGGATTTCTGTGACGAGGTGAGAAAGCATTCACGAGCTGCAATACTTTGTGATATTTTCCATTATTATGCTTTTGGTTATAGATAAGAATAAACCGACACAAAATTCAAGCGCCTGACTGCCGTGCTGAATGAGAACTTCCGGTTAAATACTGTCGGAGGTTCGAACCGACAGTTACCATGGTTACTGTTAACTGAATTATATTTGCGTATTACTTTTGATATAAATGTTTGATAAAATGATGTATACTGTTAAAGCACTTTTGATGCCATTCTGTGTATTTGACTTATTCATAAAATCTGTTTATTATATAGAATATGAATACGATAAAAACAATATATGTACATGTAACATAATATTTCGCCCTTACATAAGATTAACTCATTCACCCCTGAAATTTCACAATTTGTAACTAAATTCTTGTAACTCTAGTAACAGCAAAAATGAATGGATCGTATGTAGCTCTTTATCTAGTTACGGCAAATACCAATGTTTTGTATTAAATACAGTATCTAGTTACGGAAAATATCTATTTATCTTATTTAATACAGTATTTAATAACGGCAAATATTACTGTAAAAATGTACATGTTTATTATTTAATACAAGTATCTTTTATGCATTTTATGTACCACTATTACGGCAAAGAATAATAATTCTTATGTACTATGAGCAAATATGTATCTAATGCTGATGCACTGCTCTATAATAACGGCAAATATTTATGCTTGCATCTTATGTCCCATAGGTTAAGCAAACATATGCGGCTGAAGACAGCAACCTTAAGGATAAATACACAGGGTGTGAGGTCACGGGTTTGACGTGAGTAGACTATATTGATTTAGCAAAGTGAATATTAGAACACTACCTGAAGGACAACACATGTGTGTTTATCATTTGGTTATACAAACACGAGCCATTCATTTGTGTTTATCATTTGGTTATACAAACACGAGCCATTCATTTAACTAATCATTAAAAAAGCAAATGCATTTATTCACACTTATGATGGATGTAGCATAGTTTCGTGATAAGCATATTGCAAAACATAAATGCGCTGTATGCGCATCTATCACGCGTGCCTATCACGATAAATCATAAAGATTTAATTTTATCCTTTTTTATATTCAAAACGATATAGTGAGGGGAGTGTGAGAGTCCGATTCATAGTTTTTTTCGCCGCCGTGACGAGCTCTGACAGCGATACGTATCTAGTTGCCATTAAAGCAGTTATAACAGTAAACGCAACAGATCCGGACAAAGGCACTTTTGGACAATTTACCGTCGTCATCTCGACAGTAGTTGTGATTACTATGAATGAAATCACAACTACAACTACTGCTATAAGCGCAACGACCCCTTCAACAACCCCAGTCACCACACCAGCAAACACAACCACCATACCACCTACAACTGCAACAACAACAACTATTCCTACAACAATAACTAAAACCACGACAGCAATACCACCTACAACCCCAACTACAATACCACCTACAACAACCGATCCTACCTCAAACACAACTACCAAACTATCCACAACCACAACAATTACACCATCCACAACAACAACAACAGAAAAATCCACAATCACAACTACCGAATCTACCTCCACCACAACTACCAAACCATCCACAACCACAACAATTACACCATCCACAACCACAACTACCAAACCATCCACAACCACAACTACCGAACCACAAATAATCACACCATCTACAACCACACCCACCATACCACTTTCAACAACCACAACACTCACAAAAACAACCACCACACCTACAACAACAACCACCACACCTACAACAACCACCACCACACCTACAACAACAACCACCACACCAACAACTACTACACCACCTTTAACAACCACCACACCAACCACAACAACCACCACACCTACAACAACAACCACAACACCTACAACAACCACCACACCGCCTACAACCACCACACATAAAACAACAACGTCAACACCTACAACAACCACCACCACACCTACAACCACTACACCTACAACTACCATACCTACAACAACCACCACCACACCTACAACCACCACCACACAAACAACAACCACCACGACACCAACCACAACAACAACCACACCAATCACAACAACCACCACACCAACCACAACAACCACCACACCTACAACCACCACCACACATACACCCACAACTACTTCATCCCCGTCAACCACAACTACCACACCTGCTACCACCACAACTACCACAACACCTTCAACAACAACTACCACAACACCTACAACCAAAACTGTCACCACACCTGCAACAACAATTACCACACCACCTACAACAAAAACTACCACATCAACTACAACTACAACTACCACACCACCTACAACCACAACTACATCAGCTACCACAACCGCACCTACCACTCCTATAACAACAACCATCATACTTACAACCACAACTATCACACTTCCTACCACCACAACTACAACAACACCTGCAACCACAACTACCACAACACCTGCAACCACAACTACAACACCACCTACCACCACAACTTTATCACCGACTACAACCACAACTTCATCACCACCTACAACCACAGCCTTAACCACAACAAACCCCACAACCACAGTTACCACTCTTATAACCACAACTGCCATACCTACAACTACTGAGACAACCACAGCAACTACAACGAGTCCTCCAAGTTTGCCAGGTAAATCCTCTTCAATAACTTTGTTTAATGAATATTGAAACGTGATATTCTTATGCAACGGCATGTGGATAAGGATATAGAAACAAAACACCAATCATTAAATTAATTGAAATTATTTAAAAATGCCAAATTTATTTCCTCAACTATTCTTTGTTTAGGTTTAGAATTAGTATATGCACATTGTTTGATACTGTTGCTAGCTGTCGTTATGGATGACGTCACAGCCGTGGTAAACGAACCGGCAAGATTGGACTGTACCGTGATTAATGCCGGTGACTGGGACAATATTACCATAGTTACAACCGGAAGTGATGCATTTGTCGTCAAGAGAACCGAAGGCGGCTTCACGGAAAACGGAAATAACGTCACGGTGTTTAAAGATTTCACATTAATACAGTGTAATGATGCAGGTGTCTATACCTGTTCAGTTGACAACATAGTATCAGACACCGGAGATATAGACGTAACAGGTGAGTAAATACATGGACAGACTCTAATTGATGATAAATACTTTAACCTATAAGAACTAGTAACACGTTTAACAACTTCAGAAGCATCCGTCCATTTTTTTTTATCTACATGCTTTATGTACAGATTGAAAAACAGATTGAAATAATGTAATATTGTTAACAAAAAATAAATATATGTTAAAGTGTAAAAGTACGGGAACATCATTTCTTTTATATTCAAGGAAGAGTGTGTCGCTCACATAGATGTTATAGACCTTTTATAAATGATTTTGTCATTTTGCTTTAAGATGTTCAAGTACAATTACATTAAACCTAGTGATTTATTTTTGTGCTAATTGATGTATGTTGAAAACGCTTAGATACATGGAAGAACATTGTCATTATACCGTTTCTTTCGTTTTATTACAGGAAAACCCACAAATGTTACACTGAATTTGTCAAGTACGCTTAATGAAGGGCAAACAACATCGGCTGTTTGTAAAGCGATTGGCACGGCCGATATAAAAATCGAACTGCATGTAAAGAAACCACTTGCATCAGCATACGAAATATTCACTGAAGAAACGACGACATCGCCGACACAAGATGGCGACTGTTTGTTGTTATCTACAGCTACTTTTAACTTCGTGCTTAGTTTTGTTGACAATGGAACAGAAATTAAATGTGTTGCATTGAACACAAAACTGGATGTGACCAGAGAGTCCCAAACAGAAAAAGTCTTTGTCATCAGGGGAGGTAAGCATTTATGTAGGTATATGAAGGTAGGTAAGAACACAGTCAAATATGAAAAAAAGTGTACTAGTTACTTTTGTATTAATATCTGTCTATATCAATAAATCTGTAAAATATGTATCGATTTGTTAAAATTCCGTAACTAGAATCAAAATCAATTGAACAAAATATGCCTACAGGCGTCTTCTTTTTCATTAACTACACTCGCTATATAAAGCTTGACAAAATCTAAGTCATGTCAAATAACTGTACATTTATTTTCCTGTCAAAAGTTTATTCTGTTCTAAACTTATATGTTATATTATGTTCCTCAGATGTGTCTTTCGACAGCTATGAACAAACTTTGGAAGCCAGTAAAGCGTCTCCACCTTTCCGGTGCACAGCGTCAAACAGTGCATCTTCGTCGACAATGACAATTCGTAGGAGCGATAGTTTTGGCAATAATACGGTACTCATCACATATGATGGTAATGCGGTTCAGTATGGATCTACAAGGCTACAGAATGGAGCTGTTTCTTCAACCGGAAATGATCTCGTACTGACGTTTGAAATCAGTACTGTATCGTGTGAAGATATTGGTACTTACAGTTGTGTCGTCAATAACAGTGTTTCGATTTTGACGTCACCGGACAAAATCATTGACGTGGAACGTAAGTTATTGAAGGGTACAGGAAGTCAACATAAGGTTCCGATATGCAATTAAACGTCATTGATCCAGTTAAGACCAATATCACTAGCTGTACGGTATGAAACGTCCACTGGTTAGGTTGCAATATGTAACAGAACACTATATAGAAGTATAACCAGCTTGATAACTTTCTATTGACTATAACAGGTAACGTCCATCGTGAAACTATAACAATTAGCTGGGAGGAGTTGACTATAAGACTAGAGGCAAGATCAGTCTAAGAATATTTTAAGGGTGGCTGTCACATTAATTTCTGCAATCATTGCCTGAAAGTGACTTTGATATACTAATTATACTTTATCTGTAATTCCAAAGGCTTGGCAACAATATTGTACTGTTATTACTTCCCTTTGGAGTATTCTTTAATGAATACTTTTCATTGTGGTCAGGTTGTGAAATATGGTACTTGTGATCAACTGAAGTTATCACCGCATAATCTATCCAAAATAGAGAATTATTCCAAATATTTACCATATTTTTTTTTCTGTGAATGTTTCACTCATGTTTATGATCAGTGGACATGCTTTTCATTTCACGTGTAACATTTCAATATGAATAACAGCCTAAAATTTGCATAAGCTTAGGTTTACACCGCCCACATTAAAAACTGTTGATGTCAACACATATGATATGAAAAAATCTCGTTTATGATTGTAGACTGTAAATATATATTTTTATGATTAACCGTTTGAAATATCGAACAAACACATTTAAGCCACATATATATTCTTACCGTATGTTCCAGGTCCGCCGGGTATTCCTGTTTTGGAGCTTAATCCTCATCAGACGACAATACCAAACGACCCTAACGCACCATCAAACTTGCACAAATGTAGTGTCGACGAAGGTTTTCCCGAAGGCAAAGTAGATATTGAGATATTAAGAACTGATGCTGTCATGTTTGAAAAAATTACGTCAACCGATCTTAATAGTGTATCAATCAATCCTGGAACGTGGGGATGCGAAGACACTTTAAGAACGATCAAATTTGGAATCAATTTCCAAAGCAATATGGAAGGAGCGATAATCCGTTGTGTAGCTGTGAGCAGTGACGAAAGCATCATAACATATTCAGACAATGCCACTATTGAACTTGTACCAGGTATATGTTTTTATTTTTAATATGATACATTATTATATATAGGATAAATTCCTGTGATCCCATTGGCGGCTGGATCCTATTCAAATGGTTATTTCTCAAAAACACAATGTAGATTGGTTTTTCGGTGAAGATCGATAAATAAGTAAAGTATATAAGGGAAACCCTTACATATTTACTACAAATAAACAGTTATTTGAAAGTTAATCATTCATTAATAAACAGTTATATCGGTCAGCATACATGTTTTCTGTTCAGCCAATCACTACCGTTTAAACTAACAAATACACAATGAACCTTAAAATAAGTGATATTGACATTACCTCGGTTATATTTTTCTGAAAAGACTCATGATTTTTGAAACGTACGAATTCGCAACTAAACAACAATTCAGTACAAAATCTTTCTTTTTATTTGGTACGAATATGTTAATAAGATGTAAATAACTGAAAAGTGTACGTATCATGTTAACATTGGTGTTATTTTATTTTTCTAAACATGCTGCATCTCTTTCAGACAATATATGCGATGATATAGGAAGCGACAAGGTAACAGCCCATCCTAACAACTGCCACAAGCACGTGGATTGTAATAGTGGAGTGCTAGTGGTAGACGTGTGTAAAGAGAAATGTTTTGTGTCCCGAGGAACATATGCAGACTGTGACGACTGTTCGAACGTCCCGTGTCCTCCACGTGAGTAATCTTCAATTCTTCCAAAAACCATTTTATTTCTGCCTCGCTCTCCATCCACTCAATAAATTTGTTGGGGTTTGATAACCATTTCAGGTCTCTCTCTAGTGGGTAGCACCAAACCCTGGGCGTTATTTTGTGCTTCGTTTTTCAATAAAGACAACACATACTAATTTGATTGGCATCATCATTTTCAATTGTGACATCATGATTCATGGCAATGTCGGATAGGGAATAGAAAAAATGTATTCCCAAGAAACTCGTATGATTTCCTAGAAACGATATGGACGTAATTGGAGAAAAAGATCCCCTAACTCGTAATATCTTATTATGATGATCTTATTCGAGTAAGGTAATGTTTAACTTGTAAAAGACACTCGGTGAAGCTCGTATCTTTATACCATTTGAAAATTAACTAGCTGGAATACAAAAAGCATTATAAACTCCTCAACTCGCTAGGTAACTTAAATTCATGACCAACATTATTTCTGTTAAAGGTTGATCTTGTTTAGCGATCGAGGGACTGGAAAATCGTCGCCAATAAATACCAATCATAAAAAACAAATATCTAGAATAGAGCAATAATCTACCATGGAAAATGATGGAATGAAACATATATCAAATACAGGCAAACTACGATATATCGCCATTGAAATGTACAGAGGAAAATTAATTTATTGCGTCAGCATATCGAAAATAAAACAAGTTTGGTACATAATGGCACCAACGGGAACCACATAAGCACTGAGCATGATTGGCGAAAGCGGTAGTACCCATGTTTTTATATATTTATTTGGATATCTTATACAGACTACAAACACACACACACACACACACACAAACACACAAACACACACACACACACACACACACACACACACACACACACATGATGATAATATGTTCTACTGGTCATTTTAAACTAGATAATGTAAGTATGTGAGTTGTTATACATGTACTGTGTGGTTGTTTGACGTTATGTCTTAAATGTATCATATTTTTTTCACCTTTATTGTAGCTACTACCACACCGCCTCCTACGACAACGTCTGCCGCTCCAACACGTAAGTTAATTTAAACACAAGTATCATTTGACTCTTTCGAATGTCATATTTATAAGTTTGCAATTAACATATGGCCATCGAGTACAGTTTATAATTATGCTTGGGGTTGAATAATTTAATTCTGAAAACACGAGCAACTTATAACTATTTTGGTTAGTTAATGTTTTGTTTTTTTTCAAAACGAGGAAAATTACAAGCCCGTTTTATTTCTACTTTATTTGAGACAGTAGTCTGTGGCGGGTCTGTGAAAAGAAAAAACTACGCATTTAGCACTAGATCTGCTCGGGTGCACAATTCTGATATTCATAAGTCTAATAGGCGTGGTTGTATGGACGTTTTGTAAATTGTGTAGTGGTCGGCCATTGTGACATTGTTAATAGCCGAGCAGTGTAGTATTGTAAATATTCAGGCACTTATATACAAAAAGAACAAAATAACACTATCGATGGTAAAACACTGTATAATTGTGTTTTTCAAAGTTGGTGAAACCCGATGTTTTGCTGAGGGGTTTTGCCTTTTTTTAAAGTCCCGAGAATTGTCCTCCCCTACACGCATGGTCATGGACAAGTGTTTTTTCACATCTCTACACCAAAGTTACCTCATAAACCACAATGACTGTAACGTTTTTCGCATTGCAGCATAGGAATGTTTCCTTATTCGTGATGTCGTGTCACCGGTGTCCTGTTGTGACATCATGTACATGAAATAAATAAGATCTACATTCCTAATACCCCTTTCTGACCCTTGACAATTCTGAATATATTCAAACAGGAACGAGCGAAATCTGTCTCCCTTAAACGAACCCCGACTAAACCCATTTGTTCTCGCTGGATCTCGCCACTACGACATGCAATATTAATCTGAAGTTTTGCCTTTCATGTTAAAACTTGGTGATCATGAGCGTAGCAATTCCACAGGTGACTACATGTAATAAAATTGTGTTAGACAATACAAAAAGGTGAAATAGAGAGGAGGATTAACCCATATAATCATAAAGTTATTTTTTATCCATAGAATGTAGAGCCCGTCGACGACGTGTGATATTTCTAAGTTCTTTCTTTACAAAATATTGATGCATATTTTTGCCAGCCTGCGATGTTCACTTTGTCGCTTTCGACTTCATGCTGATTTTACACCTCTACCATGAAACCTGTTAACACCAATTATCACATCACCAAACCATTAGTTTATATAGACAGATGTTTGAATTGTACAATATCCTGTTTCATATAAATGCATAAACAGGTATACTGTTTTCATCAAAGTCCTGTTCACGTTTACTAAGATATGACAAGCATATGTCTGAAGTATTATGTGGATATGGTTAGCAAACTTATAAACAACATTCTTTTTCTCTTACAGTCCTGTCATGTGCCGATATATCGGGTTATATTGATGATGCAGCATTTCTACAATGTGAAATAGCTAGTGATGATTTTGACTCAATTGAACTTTCACATATGCCCTCGACATCAACCGTGTTATTGCCCTTAGGTAATCTTACGAAGTTGTCAGCTGTTGTCACGGCAACGGATTCTATTTGGACCGGCCTTCATTTTGCCTACCACACGACTGGTTCAATGAATTATATCAACATAACAATACCTAAAGTAAGCTGTACAATGGGTGGAGCGATTCATCTAATATTAACCAAGGGCAATGACTCGTCGGCGACAACCTCACAAATAAATGTATTAGGTGAGTTTAATTTAGTAGTTCTTTTCGTATTTCTTACGTATTTAAACAATTGTTTTGAAACTTACCAGCAATAATGTATTTCATTAAACATTTTGTTACAATTTTAAATATAAAAATATAAACTATACTTGCAATAAAATATAACGTGTTTCCATAAAGCATATGTTCGATACTTTTGGCAGATATCCCGAAAACAGCACCTACAATTTCTTTAATCTTCGCTGAAATTGTTGAGAACAAGGCGCAGAATTTTAAATGTGAAGGCGAAATTGGTACAGATCAAGGAACCATGACATTGGAGATTCTCGATAGAGCAACAGACACATTCATCCCAGTCATAAGCTCTAAAAATCCAACAGATCAAAAGAGCGGCTGTATGGTGACGCGGACTATAGATAGGCAGTCAACTATATCTATCATCCAGAACGGCACAGTCGCACGATGTTCCGCTTCACTGAAGGATAGCATAAAGGTCAAGGATGTCACCTTAGTTTCCGATAATGTCACATTGCTTGTGATTCCATGTAAGTTGTTTTAAACATAGTAATTTACATTAAATTTTTAAAATAAATATGTTCAATGAATTAAACAGACGTACAGAATATGTCTTTAAAGCGTTTAATTTACATTGCATAACCGTTTTATACATGTTAACTGAATGAAAACACGGATGCACGTTTATACTGCAAAACTGGGTATTACTTTAGATTCATTGTATGTACATCAAATATCATTTAAAATGTTAAGGAGAGATTATCTAAAAGGTTGTTCAAGTGTCACTATTTTAAGTTTACAATATAATGCATTATTATTCAATAATAAATGAAATTCAATTAGCAGATAATTTCGAACATGCAAAATAAATAAAAATCAGCTATTGACTATGGTATAAAATGCAAAATATCATCCAAAGTCCTTGTGATGGTTAAATATTAAAGAAATGACAAAAGAGTTTATAAGAACTTCCCTAGTACTTTCGCTTCTTTCAATTCCATCCAAGGGCTAGTTTTCAAATTGGGTAAAACCTGAGGATGTACCGAGGGTTTTGCACCAATAACAAAATCCCTATTCTACATCCCTGAGCATGAAAGAGACTTTCGAACGTTTCTTTATTTTCTCACTTTGAAACTATTACGTATAAACATACAACTAAACACTCACCGCTGTTGTTCATTTTCAGTAAGTGTATGCAGACCAAACGATACTAAGGTAGCAAACCCGTACGATTGTTACCGCTTCGTGACATGTGGAGTAGGGGTAATAACAGACCAGCCTTGTGGAGCCCTCTGTTTCAATCCAGAATATAAAAACTGTACTACAAACTGCGATCATTGTGAAACACAAGGTAACGTGTTAAATCATTATTACCACGACGTGTTTAGTTTACAGAGGATGTCTATTATCAGTGAAGCATGATATTCGAGACTGTAACATTTTTTGCTTTTTGTTTTTTTGTTCTCTTGTTTCGATCACATATTATATATTTTGCTCATATTCTGTTGTTTAAACGTAACCTTATAGACACATTTTATAAATAGGTTTTGCTTTGTTTCTGTTCGAATCCCTAAATGTTTGTGTAGTTGGTAAACACTCCTTTAATTAACACCTTCCAAGTTCAAACATGATTCATGATTCTTATATAAATTATATATGTTATAATTTATTGTTTTATTTCATGACAGATGGTAACTCACAAACAACTACTACACAATCTTCAGGTAGGTGTTTTGAAGAGTTACTGTAGCAATATGTGTTGATACAATTATTGATTTTAATGCAGATATGTTTGCTGTTTTCAAAGCTTTTTTATGCTACATACGTACACTTGTATTCCGATCGCTGTTTAAAACAGAGTCAATTATGGAATCGTGACAATGTGCACAAATTCATATTTTGAATGTCAACTAATCAGTTCATTTTAGATTACTTGTTCTTATAGAAGTGTTCATATATTTGTTTTTTATATTTTGTTTTGATTTCAAATGATAATATTAATCTTACCTTAACATTAATTAACCAACAAACAAAACTTTTCAGTGTCATCAACCACATCAGAAGGTATTGCTACTTAAATAGTGCTATACACGATATTAAACCATTTTTATCTTATTATAATTAATAACTAATCCATGTCNAACTGCATTCTGGGGAAATTCATTTTTCGCTTCTGATCAAACCACTTCATTTATATGTAATACTGCATCGTTAATGACTATACTGAATATAAGAACATGCAGCAGTAGATTTTAATGCTTCTTTCGAGAGGGAAACGACTTAGTTTTATTATTGAAGGTTTCTGGTATGCATAATGCATTGTATGTATAACAACCCCTGTTTCACTTCATAGGAATAATAACATTGGTGTTGGGGCTGGATATTTATCGTATTTCGTTTATAGCTGCATTGCCTAACCGCTCTATAACACTGTTCTGTATCATCAGTATCTATCTGGACAGAACATAATATAAATAGCAGCGTTTCGTAAACAAAACTGGATTCAACTAAACGATTGTTACTTGACTTTATCGACAAGAGTATATCTACCCGAACATTTTGGTCTATATATAGATAATGCTTAATATTCATAGTTATTCGTATGTGAATAAAACAGTTTTTCTGTCATGCGCGGTAGTTAAACTTGTCTGGACAAATAAGACAGATTGCAGACTCGTCCTGTACATTCACAGAAACGTTAAATATTGAAAATATTCCTTTATCATGTTTGAAATGTGTACATGTACAACAGTGTCCTTCATCGAAGTTTTTTGCCAAATGAGGTCGACATTTTCAGACAAACACACCCGCACACACACACACAAACAATAAATATTTGTTTTGTATTTCATCACCATATTCCTTCACTTAATTAAATGTTTGTAAACCATTATATTTTTAAAATTACAGCTTTCGTCGATCCGTATGACTGCTCTAACTATGAAGGAGCATGGTACATACCGCCAGTTGACATCTACCCTTCCAAATGTGACCAATTTGTTTGGTGTGCAAATCGAGCAAAGGCAGCGAATAGAGCATGTAACCCAGGACAATATTTCACGAACTTCACGCAGTCGGCTCAAACGTGTACTTCAGATTACGAAAACTCGTTATGTGCATCCTACGGTGAGATACATTTTTAATTTATAAGATGCACAGGTGATTGAACGTTTCAAAATTTGGTAATAAAAACAGTATTCCGAAAAATGCATATAACACTGTATCATACAGCTGTTTCATTCTTCTAGAACTCATAGATGATACCAGTGGCAAAAAAGGTTGGAAAGTCAGCTACTGTTGAAACAGAAAGGGAGGTGCATAATAAGCCTAAATTTTATGACTTTTACAATTTAGAGAAATAATAAATAATTCCAAATTGCAAATTGAGTAAAGTGTGTGTATTATGAACCATGTCGCTACTCAAAAGAGATAACTGTGGCTATCAAGGTTACAGCAAACCTCGGGGACTACGAAATCCACCAGCAGAATATACCGCCTAAAAACTTGAAATACGAACGTTACATAAGTTATATAGGCATAGTGTGACAAACTCATAAAAAATGTACTTTGATTACCCATTATGTTTGTACAAATTATACTAAATGATGTAAATTAAATTGGTAACAAATAAAGGTTTTCCTTTTCGAATAATGTTTTACTAAGAACTCTCTATCTTAATATTAAAATGAATTGCTTTAAATTATCGGAGACATACTATTTTCAACGATTTACCTGAAAACAAGACAATTAACATCCACTTAATGAACATGTCTTTGTTGTAGGCCCGTTACCCTCAACTACCACCGAACCAGGTAAATATTGAACATAATAAAAATGCTTTTTATAATCGTTCGGTATTTCCATGTAAACATGTATTGAATGATTGCATAGAAAATGAGTATTTATCGCAACTTACATTTTTTTCTTCAAATTCATTTTTTCAATGACAATCGTAAACTAATTTATTTTAGCATAATATTTGAGAGGTGTTATTCCAAGAAAAATCATTGTTCTCTGCATTAATATTGTAAAGCCATAGCATTTATATTATAACGTTTGATTAAGTTTAATTTTGCCTTTCTTACAGTGCCAACAGTTCTAACAAGCACCACACCGTCCACTACCACAGTCCAACCTGGTAAACTAGTATACTGTCTTAAATGATTCTCCAATTAACTCATTCACCCCTGAAGACGTATTGGAACTCTTCCATTTGAAAGTTTGGAATAGTTCATTATGCAATGTCAATGGTGATTGAGTTAAGATTGAAAACGTTTTATATAAAATAAATCTAGCAAATCATTGTTCTCTGCTTGCAATGAGTCTTCCTTATTGCAATGAGTCTTCCTTAACCATTTTTCATTGACTTATAACGTGTCTTTACATTTTTTCAAGATGGAATTATGAAATGATATTAATATCAATTGTATCTCAATTTTTGTCTGCACCATTTTTTTTTCATGTCACTTGCACTCACCGTTCTCATCCACATTGTACTCTTCATTATTTTGGAGGAAATAAAGATATGAATGAATGAATGGTGATTGAGTTAAGATTGAAAACGTTTTATATAAGGACACATCTGAGAAATGATAATTAAAAATAATATTCATGATTCAACTTTTGATGCTGACGAGTTTAATTTTCAAATCCTTGCAAAATGTCACATTGTTAAGTGTACGTTACATGCCTAGATAATACATTCAATATTGAGTAGTAAATATAAAAAAGACGCCAATCTCGTTAAGGAATGGAATACAAAATAGTAGGAAATCTACAAAGCTCTTACAAACATTTATTTTATTTTGATATAAGAAATAACAAAATTTGGTATGCAACCTGAATGTCTTTTATTTATATTGTTGTACATTAAATTTGATGTTTTCAATAAAAAAACGTCAATATTACTGTTAGACCTCTTGAAACGTGTATATTTGAACCTATTAACACATGCAGAAAGATAAATCCACATAAATATATTGATAGCTATTTCATTTTTACAGATGTATCTTTCGATCAGCCTGAATACGTTGGTGTTTTAAGTGGCAGCGGGGTAACAATGACGTGTAGAATCATTACGTCATCATGGAACTATATTGACGTCATTCGTTTCGATCCTGCTGCAACGGACGTGCTGGTTGCAAGGGTAACCGGATCGTTGATTACTCATCCGTTTTCCCCAAGAATCACTGCCAGTGTAACTGGAGGAAATGTTGTCGTTGATTTTACCACTGTTGAGTGTGGCGACGCAGGGACTTATT